TTTTTTTTTTTTTTTTTTTTTTTTTTTTTTTTTTTTTTTTTTTTTTTTTTAATTATTTCTTTTTTGAAATTAAAATCAAACAAAGCTCCACGGCGTTTTTCCTTTAAGGTGCGAACCCGGGAACCAACAAAGCTCCACGGCGTCGACTGGGCAGATTTCAGCTCCATCATGTGGGCAGCCACCGTCTCCTTCCCTTCACTTTCTAACCTCCGGGGACCCATTCCTCTGAGTAATCGACTGGACTCTTCAAAGCGCCAATCTTTGAATCTTCGAGCTTCTTTCTCTGATTACCCCCTTGCCAGCAGACTCATGGTTAGAAGTAATTTCACTTCCCTCTTCCTTTCCTCTTCCTCTGCATTTCACGATCCCTTTCCTTGATTTCCCATTTGGAAATTCCCCCCCAATTTCTTGTGTTCGCTGTGATGTTGTTGGAGTCCGTTCTTGGCTTGCGATGTGAATTTTTCCGCTTTGATTCATTTTTCTGTTGCTCCTCTTACTTGTTCCTGTTTCTCTCCTTTTGGTTTAGTTTTTTTTTTTTTTTTCTCTTTTACACCAACCATGAATTTTATACAAACTGAAGAGAAGGTACCATGAAGGTTCTGCGTGGTTCATTATAGATGAGCGAGCAAGATAGATATCCGAAGGCATTGAGTTGAAAATTTCCCCATTTTATTAAGGAATGCTTAAGAAGTTATGAGAAAAAAATTCAACCTACACGAAAAAGGAAGGGAAAGCTGCAAGAAACTACTTCAATCTAAATTAATAATCCCATCTGCTACTAAAATATTATATGAACTGTAAACTTCCAGGCAGTGAGGAAGACAAGGTCTTTGACCATGTGCCTCTTTAAAAGGAAAATCTTTCGTTGAATTGATTTTGTTTGAAACTTTTCTTAAATTCATGTCTCTGTGTGAAATTGACTAGAGCTACAAGCTTGTTTCTCTTGTTCATGGAAGTTATAATTCCTTCAAGCTTTTAGCATACTCTGTGACTCTATTTGGCCTACACAACTTTAGTTAGATATATTCACAAGCTTAAAGGGTAGTTTGTTCATCAAGTTTTGATTCCTGAAAATGGGATCGAAAAGGTAAAGCACAATAATGTTGACACCTTAGATGTCCACTTGCATACAGATAAGGATGTTTAGTGCAAGTGATGTGGATTGGATAATAAAGCATCAATGGAATACTGGAGCTAATGTATTGAGAATTATGTGGACTTTCGCGTTTCATCTAAGATATTTGTTTCTTTTCATCCTACTCCTCTTACTTTTAAGAATAGGGCCAGAAAGGATTAATAATTTATTTGAAATGTAAAGAAAAAAGAAAGAGTTTAAGATTGACTGTGGCTCTTGGTGTCTATCTATAAAACTTATCGACCTCTTCGCATCGCCTTTTCTCGTACTTTCCTGTCAACTTCCTTTCCTCTATTTTTCACGGTATGTGTTGTCTTGCAATATGAATGACTTTCACCTACCATAACGCTATCGTTTATCCAGGCATCCTTCACTTTTGGACAATGCCTATCCACATTGAGTTCGTTACCGTCTCATCTATTTGTTAACAGTTTTATTTTTCAGTTTTTCCTGTTCTCAATATTGTTTCTCAAGGTAACTGATCATTCATTATGATCGCTGAGTTCTGTTTATGCATGGCGTAAGTTAAAAAGAACCTTTCCAAATTGTCTTTTGAAGTAAACTAAAAGAAAAACAGATCTTCAGTACATATTTTTCTTGATGTTTTGTGAAGTCTTTTGGAATCTCAAGATGTGTATATTAAAAAAAAAAAATGCAGATTTACCATACTCCACCAATGAGAATCGGCTACAAGAAGAATTTTCAAATTTTGGTGAGATTGCTGAAGGTAACTGCATTTCTTTTCTCGTTGAGCGATTAAACTATTATATGATGTCAATTTCCAGCCAAGTCCAATATGCCTTATAATCTTGCTGCTTCTCTTATCAACCTATGACAGTGTTATTAGCAAAAGATCGATTAACCAAAACACCAAAAGGTTATGCGTTCATCCAATACACTAGCCAAGACGATGCGATGCTTGCGCTGGAAAATATGGATTGCAAGGTTAAACTTCATCTAGCTCTGTCATTGCCACATGAGGTAACTCATGGTTTAAAGTTAATGTACTTTCTCTGTGTCTCGAAACCAGAAATTTGATGGAAGGACGATCTATGTGGAACTTGCAAAACCTGGCAGTGGATCTTTTCGAGGATATCCGGTAACCTCTGGACCCCCGAAAGAGCGGCCTATACCTAAATTGGTGCCAGAAGAGGTAGCAGATTGCTGGTATTGATCTTGTTCTTACTGAGATACACAATATAGGACAGAGATGGGTTAACAGTTAATGACAGTTGGGCACCATGAGATCAATCCCAAAGAATCTGTGAGGGTTGAAGTGTTTGTTGTGATGGATTCCTTACATTCCTCTTAATAGTTTCAGGCTTTAGATGCTGATGCCATCCTGCAACTTTGATATCTATTTGTATTTACACTGTTTACGACACTTGATGCGTCTTCTAGTGCATATTGCTGTATGTGGCGTAGCAATTGAGATTATGGATAATGTGGTAATTCATAAAGCAAATGCTTCTACTACTCTGTTGTTTTTTGGTCCAAATTCAACGTGTATTATGTTTTTTTAGTCGGTTTTAATGTCATAACTTACACCAAACTTTTGGAATGATAATTGAAGCCTCAAGAAGTGTGCCCCATTGACTAAGATTCATAGGTTTTTAGGGACTCCTATAAGAGGTTACAGGGCGTGTTTTGTTTTGTAATAATTAAGAAATTGAGTAGATTCATTTCTTGCATCATACTCATGTGTTCTACTTCTACTAAGGTAAAGCAAGGTCTTATTGTGTTGCACTTTGGGAGCGTTCGTATTCACACTATGGGGAATCACTTCTAGACAGGGGGGTCCCAGTCCAACCACGCCTACTGCTTCCCCTCATCTTCTCAAAAAAGGGAGAATTCTAAAGTAGCTTTTATTAACTTTTGCAGCTTCATCAATAGATACGTCTCTACTCTTCCCTCATCAAAAGTACATAACGTAAGAAGACAAAAACACCAAAATCTAGTTTTATCCCAAACAACCCACCTGACTTCAACTAATTTCCTCATCAATCTCAACTCAACTCTTGGGGGATCATTTTTATTGCTTTACCTGATTCGTTTTAAGTGTACTGCTTCTTGATCTGTGCAGCTTTAGTTGACATTACACTATGTGATGTATAGAAGTAGCAGAATCCTTGGGGGTTTTAAGTGTACTGCTTATTGATCTGTGCAGCTTTAGTTGACATTACACTATGTGATGTATAGAAGTAGCAGAATCCTTGGGGGGCTTGAGCTGATGCCTGCAGGTGGGGCAAGAAGAGTGAGACAGCAGCTTTAGTTGACATCATGTCTTGCTTCTTCATGCCCGAGTTCAGTCCTCTTAAAGCCACCCATTGGAATGTCTGTCTGAGGGTGTGATTGGCGCATTGAAGTATGCATGTCAGCATGGTATTTAAACCAAGTGTGCAAACAACGGCGCAAACAATTGCAGCCACAGTGACAAGGAGGTTGAAGTTGCTGCCTTGTTCTTGCTCGTGAGGGTACGCGAAAGATAAGCTCGGCAAGGGATTAAAGGAAGGAGTCGGAGAGGAGGAAGGCTCGGTGTACGAAGAACCGAGCATTTTTGCAAGCTGAAATGGCCGAGAAGGAAGCAGCATAAACACAGGTATGGAACAAGTTGAGATGAAGAAACATAAGAGTTGAAGATGGAGGGTGAGAATGTGATTTGAAGTAGTGGCTGTTTTTTCTTTTGTTTGTGCGCTGAAAACAGAAAAGGCAGTCTCATTGCCCCCTCGCTTTTCTTTCATCCTTCGCTCCAAAGAGAAACAATCAATTCCGTAGATATCAGTCTTGGTTTCATTGGTGAGGGCAAAGGCAATTAAATAAAAATATAATTATAATTTTTAATTTTTAATTTACCTGAAATAAAAAAAATAATATTGAAAGTTGGTTAGCTTTTACATAAGTCAGTATTCTCTCGACCATATGGGAATTAGGAACAAAACCTTCCTCTTCCTCGACGCCTCCTCTTCCCTTCTTCCACTTCCAAATCTCCTATCCATTTCTCTCGTCAGAACCTCAAATCGCTCACCTTTCTCGCGACTGCATTTGAAGAAGCCGCAATTCCGAACTTCGAAGCCCTAATTCGTGCTCCCAACCTGCCATCTAGTAAGGGTCACTCAATGTTTGTGATTTGCATTTACGAATTATGTACACGGGATTTCTAATCCAGACTGCGTATAAGTGGATGATTCGTCTATCGGATTTGTGTTCTTTTTTCTAGTTTTTACTTCTTTGCTCTCTCTGTGGTTTTTCTCCTCTCTGTTTTATTTCACCTGTAAACGAAATCACTGGTCTTCAAATTTGTGAACGCGTTACTGCTTTTCCATTTTCATTCGCGCATGTATCCGCTTGCTGCTGGCATACAGGATAATAAAGTTTATGAAATCTAATTTGTGAGGATTTTTGTTTTATGGGTTTAAATTGCGAATAGAAACGTAAATTTCTTTCTAAAATAGCATATGTGATTTTATGTTACTTTGTTTCAAAGTATGTGAATTTACTAGTCTATTTTGCGGCTTGCCCTTAAAATCATATATCTAACAACTTCCTCTTTCCAAACATTGTTGACAAATTGAAGGCACCAATGGCAGGCGTCATTACGAAGTTCTTCATTGCATCACTGTTTATGTGGATAACTCCCATCATATTGTTGTATGGTTTTAACCACAATTTGATTCCTGGTAAGATTTATTAGCATAAATACTAGCATCTGTTGCTTATGCAAGATTTTTAGCGGTCATCTTTTTAGTATGTGCAGACTTGTGTTTAATTATGAATCCGAGATACTAGTCTTGTGTTGGACTCATTACCCAATTCAAGAGGAACCAAGAGCTCTCTCTAGGCAGTATACTATTTTCTCAAAAGCACCCTCACACACGCTGCCTACCACACTATTAAAAGCCCACACCAGATTACACTAACTTTAAGAATTGGACCTCCCATTTATGCCCCTCTTGTTATATTGTGATTAGAGGCCTGACACTAACTTACCTCCTCATTGATATAAAGAACCCAGTCTTTTCTAGCTTTCTTTTTATATTCTGATAATTACCAGTAAGTGCATTTTGGTCTTGTCTGGATGGTGTTACCTAAAGAGCATGGTTTGGTATGCCATCTTTACTGCTTCATGGCTACTGGTCGTCAGACTCAATTATTGATTGATGATGTATACGTTTAGGGAATCTTAAAATTTTAATCGCACGCTCATAATAATCCATTTATCTTCCTGTCTGTAAATTTGTTAGTATAGAAACAACTTTTATGTGAAATGTAAAGTAGTTCTTAGGAACGTGGAAACCTTGAACCCCCTCGTTTTCCTTCCTGAACTAGGTTAGTGTAAACCTCTCTCAATAATGCTTGTCCCTCTTCCTCACTACCTTCTTTACTCATAACTGTTGGTCATTACCAAATCACTCTAACACGACTTCTGATTTGGTTCTTCTAAGATAATGAATTTTGTGTTTAACAAAAGTATTACTTCATATTTGTTTATTATTATCTTTTATTGCCGTTTTGTTCGTTCTTTTAGTTTTGATCTTGTACTTTTTGTTTCTTGTCATTAACAACCTGTCTTCTCATATTATTTTCTTGCATGCGCGTGATTACATTTCTAAGTAAATACTCTTCTGGACCAGGTTCAACACAATTGAATCCGCATTCTCTTACACTCTTGAGTGGATTCCTTGCTGTCATATCAGTCAATGTTGTCATTGCTATTTATATTATCATGGCAATGAAAGAACCCTCTAGTAAACATGAACCGGATCCTGCATTTGTTGCCGAGGCAAAAGCTAGTATAAACCAGTCTCCTGGGAAAGCAGAGGACCCCTCACAGGCCAATAATAAGAAGGAAGAATAGGAAATGAGAGAGGGAGGCTCTGATGAGCTTAACCTTTCCAGGATTTCAGATGATAATGTCTCATGTGTGGTCAGACTGTCTGCTTGTCAATTGAGACTTGGTTTCTTTTCTTTGCTTCTAATGATGTTATACTTGAAGAGGAGATGTAATATTTGTTGGTTGGGGAGAATTAGAATAAATTTTAGATTCTTGTATTTCTGGCTTCATAGTTAGAACTTTATAACATAATCCCGATGGTTTCAATCTCTTCATAGTCCAAGGAAAGACACCATTTAACAAGAAGGACACCTTCGAACATCAGATTTAGAACCTCATCCTTTGGCTACCACCAAGGGTTGGTTTGTAGAACTTTGTAGGGGGTTCCTTCCGGTAGTTGGGACATGCTCTTGCTCTAAAATGTGAAAAACCCTATTTACCCTAATTCATACTTCATAACTAACCAAACCCTCTTGCGAGTTAATTAAAAATTTGGAAGTTGAATGCAAATTAAACCCAAAATGGTATAATAACCCTACCAATGCAAATAATGTGTAAGCCAAGCTTAGGAGTTTAAATTATGGATAATCATATTCCTTTAAGCGATTACAATATTCCCTAAAGAAGAAAAATACGCATATTAGCTACATAAATTATCTTGAAGGCAAATATTATAATTATACAGCAGATATTTATGGTTGTAAGGGTCTTTTTTTTTTATTATTATTTTAAATTTGTTGACTTCCGGAAAAGATAAATAGACGGTAACTGAGCTGGAGTGTCCATATAAATATATATAAATAAAGCAACCATTGATCGAGACGAAAAATATAAAAAGGAAAAATCGGAAATTGCTGCGAGCGAGTTTTTACTCGTATCAGAGATCGGCGTGAGGGCTTAAACGAGTCGGGAGACAAAAGAAAACCCCCTTTCGGGATAGGGGTTCCCCCACCAACAAAACCCTAAATCTTCGTGATCTCTGTTCCTTTGATTCCCCGCCTTCTCATTTTTCCAGAATCCACTGCCTTGGGAAGAACTCGTCTCGTTTCGGGATTTGAATTGAAGCGCAACGGTGTGCGTTCTGACCATGGGGAAGAAGAAGAAGAGGGTGTCGTCTAAGGTATGGTGCTATTATTGCGACAGAGAATTCGACGACGAGAAGATATTGGTGCAGCATCAGAAGGCCAAACACTTCAAGTGCCATGTCTGTCACAAGAAGCTTTCTACTGCTGGTGGTATGGTCATCCACGTTCTTCAGGTTCACAAGGAGTCGGTCACCAAGTATGTAAACTCCTTCCCCCCCTCTCCTTTTCTCTCCTCAACTAGAAGTCTACATTCTACTTTTTACCTTTTTTAGTGTATTCCTCTCTCGCCTTCTTTGTCTGCAAAGATTCGAGGGTATCTTCTGCCTTGCTTAAGCCACTTATTTTCCGACCAGTCACGTTTTTTTAATTGAACTCATCTTCCTTAATATGTTTTTGAGTGATGAAATTCTTATTCAACGCTATATTTCATTCCAATCGCGATGAATTGTTTCATTGGTGGACTGTATTATATACTTCTCAACGTCGTAGGAATTAATGTGGTAGAGTTCACATTTCTTCCTTCCATAGATTACCGCATGCGAGATTGTAAGATTTGAACATGAAAGTATATTGAGATATTGTAGTAGGTAGGAAAAGATATACCAGATACACTTGCCCATCAATGGAGCTTTTGTTTTTCCTATAAGATCAAGCACTTGTTTTTTAATTAATTCCTGAACTGGTATTTTTTGTGTTGGTCACGTTTATATTCTAACGTTTCTGTTGTTGGTGGTGATCTTGTGATAGAGTTCCTAATGCAAAACCAGGCAGAGAATCGACAGATATTGAAATATATGGAATGCAAGGAATTCCTCCCGATGTCTTGGCAGCACACTATGGCGAGGACGGTGAGGAATCTATATAACTCATACGTGCACTGTCTTTATATTTATCTACCTCCATTACTATTAATATCTTACTTCTCTTCCTCTTTCTCTCAGTCTTTCTCATCCATACATATACGTACGTGTAAATAGGCATATATGAAGACAGAGTTTATGGGTCTATTATGTTTGTGTTATTGCAAGGACAACTCTCTTTTACAAGAAAATATTTTTTTTTCCTTTTATTTTCCGAACTGAGACGTGAATTTGCTAAATCCCCCCGTTATTCTTGTCTAATAGGGGACATTTCTCCTGTAAGTTCAGTAAAAGTTAACTTGCCCAATCCCCATCCCCACCTCAACCCTCACCCATAGTATCTCTATGCTCTTTCCTATGATAAATCCTTGACAAATATAGTATCTCAGAGTTTTTTTAAAAAAATTTATTGGAGCAGTCTGTGTGCGTATTATTATTTTACATAATAGAAAACAATAGATAGTTCATTGATTAGATGGAATATACAAAAGAAGAGATCACATCGAAGAAGCTGGAAGTTATCAAAAAAAGAAAAAAAGTTTCCCCGGAAGTTATGGTTAAAAGTTGAACCAGATCAATCCTATGACCCTAAGTACGTTTGTGGTGAGGTATATAAAATTTCAGGAGGTTAGTGGAAGGGATTGCGTCTATGTTGGATTGGGAGCAGACTATATTAATTTTTTAATAGGTGACAGTCCTCAAACTACATGACCTGTACAGTCCGAAGTCCTAAGGACTAAGGAGTATTATTTGTGTTTTGGTCTTGGAATGATTCATTCCAATTCCTTAAGGAAACTAACCATAAAAAATATCTGAGGATAGGAAACAGAACCTTCTTCATTTAGATCGTGGTTTGAAGAGGAATTATTCTTGGAAGCCACCCAGTAATATCTGAGGATGTTATTTTATGCCCTTTGAATCAGAGATTCTTCAGAAATAACCTCAGAAATGTGAGGCGATGGGACTTGTTGAGATGCAACCCTATCTAATGAAATTGTCACGCTTTCGTAGGGAAGAAATGAAAGAATAGAAAGCAAAAGACCAACATGCATACAAATAAACAACCTAGACTAAAGAAACCTACCAACTAGCCGTGCAAAAAGGGACGAACCCATAAGAATAAGACCTAACAGGTAATTATGAAGATTTGTGGAGACCAATGCTTAGATTGAGATGTTAAACCTGGCTAATGAACGAACCTCCTCGTAAGCTCCCTCCAAAATTCCTAATAATTCTGTTATTCCTTTCAAACCAAAGACCTCAAATGACCAAAAAGAAGCCAACCTGCCACCAAACTTGACACTTATCATGCTTAACTATAAATAATCTTTATGATCCAATATACTTGCTATGCTTAATTACTGATGGTCCTGAATAATCTAATATTGTTTGATTTTTTAAAAAAAAAATCAAATTATGAGGGGGGTACATGGTATGCTTATTGTTTCTGTTCTCCAAACTTCTCTGCTGAGCTCTTATGCCACATAATGATGATTGTTGTTGTGTTTGTTTCTTATGAATTTTTATTTTTATTTTTTAGTGGTATTGGGAATAGTGGTATAATTAGAATTATGGAAATGCTCTTCTTTCTTGTAGAAGAAGAGTCCTTATCAAAGGTGGCCAAAGTGGAGATGCCACCGACTCAGATGGTTGGAGGTGTGGTGCCCGGATCGCTGGGCATTGTATACCCTCCTCAGCCAGGTTTAGCTGCAATTCAACCTATGTAAGTATCTGCCTACCTTTTTTTCTTCCAATCACTATTGCTGCTTAACTTGAAGTTTTTGCATTTTTTTGTGTTAACTTCAGTAAAATGTTAAATTATCAAACAATGTAATTTCAACCAACTACCTTGTTACTGCAGTTATCCTTCGACTGGACAAGCACAGCCTACTGCCTGGCCGGTTCCACCTCGTCCCCAACCTTGGTTCCCTCCAAATTCAGCCGTTTCAATTTCGGCTCCTGCCCCATTGGGCTATGCTCAGCAGCCACTATTTCCTGTGCAGACTGCAAGGCCCTCACTTCCAGTATCATCAACTCCTATGCTCCAGTCTTCACAAATAACACATCCTGGATTGACTTCAACCACACCTTCAGTTTCTGTATCTCAGCCGTTGTTCCCTGTTGTTAATAATAACCACGGACCTACTCAAAGCTCTCCTTTTCCTTCATCTACACTTTCAACAAGCATTCCTTTGACCTCAGCAGCAGATATCAAGGGCTCAGTGACACATCTGGGCACTAACTCCTTTTCTACTATCAGCAATCAGGTTCCAAATGTTCCAGGTGCAACTAATTACTTTATGCAGTCTCTTCTATATGACTTCTCACAAAGCTTGATCCAGTTTGGTTTTATCCCAATGCATTGAATAAGGACAAATATAGTAGTACTTCCAGAGGTTTTTTTTGGTATGCAACGGTAATACGTATTCATGTTTGTTGATAATTGAAGTTTGGCCTTTACATAAAGTCGTAAACAACAAATCTTAAATTTTCTATGTTCGAGCATGGTTACCTCTTCTAAAGGGTTATCCACTAGTAATTTCAATTTTAAATTTCAATAGGAACTACAATCTATGCATTTCTCCTAATGTAGTTTCAATTACCAACTCCTGCATAAAATTGTAGAAAGTCAGAAGAGCCATTATCTAGGTTTTTTTTTTTTTAACTACTTAACAGGGTGCCTTATCTGCATTTAATGTTGTAGGTGGAATATTAAGCAATTCACACTCCTATGCCTCGGGACCAAATACGGGTGGTCCTTCTATCGGACCACCTCCTGTAATTGCAAATAAGGCTCCTACTCAGCCATCAACAAACGAAGTATATTTGGTTTGGGATGATGAGGCGATGTCTATGGTAAGTTTTCTTGTGTGCTGATCTACCATGATTTATCTTGAGATTTCCAACCTGGTTTCACTTTCTTATGGTAAACGTGCAGGAGGAAAGAAGAATGTCCTTAACCAAGTATCAGGTGCATGATGAAACTAGCCAGGTAAGTTATACTACAACTTAAATATTTGGAGTTGGTTTCAAGTCTCTAACCATGTGCGGTAGGCTGTACATGTTTCTGTTTTTGGATTCTTTGTAGTATACATGTCGAAGTAAATCTGATTTTTATTTTATTTACACTTTATAGAATGTATTTTCTTAGAACCTTGAGCCTGAACTCACTTTTTACCTCGAACTTCATGATCATGTAAATGCTGTTTTATTTAACTGACATTTTCCAGTTTGCACGCCATACCACCAATCTTGTGGCATCAAAAGGCTCAAGTAGGTATTTATGTTATCCCACTTACAGTGTGTATAAGGCCTTACCTATTGTTGCATGAACATGGTTTAAGACCGTAGTATATGCAATTCTTCCTTTTGGCTTTTTAATCTATTATTTATGATTCACTCTCCCTATGCGCTTGATGCCTAAGTGTGGGGATTTGGGTGGAACAAGATTATATACCCTACAGATTTTTGCTCATTTTGTAGCATCATTACAATTTATTTTATGATCGATCAGTGAATACGGCTTTGACCAGGTCAGCCTCTTTTGCAATGTTTGGCACCTCTTACATAGGACTCAACCATATGATTTGGCGATGGCATCATTTCTATATTTTCTGTCTAATCATTTTGTGTCGTATTCTTGGTTTCAGATGAGTTCAATTGATGCAGCCATAGACAAACGAATCTTGGAAAGCAGGCTTGCTGGCCGAATGCCACATTTTAATTGAAGGCTCCTCCATTGGTCTGTGGCAGTTGGTTTCAGAAGAAGCTGTGGAATTTGTAAGTCACCAGGGGCAATGTTCGAGAACAGATATTCTTCATAGATTGAAGCTTCAACTTCAACATCTACATTGAATTCAATGCATTGCCAGAAATTGACAGTACACAGAGTTTTCTTTTTCCTGTCTATGTTGTCAATTATTGAAAGGTGATTTAAATGAGGGAGTTTTTCTTTTCTCTTCTTTTCTTTTCTGTAATTTAAACCTCTTTGTACCCATTTTTTCCTTACTAGAGTTTTTGAGTTTAGAGAAAGATTTGCATTTTCGGCCTTGGAAGATAACTCCATCTTCCTTTCTATATATTTCGTCGGTTCTCTACTCTTCCCTCTGCTGTGTTGGAAAGGAAACATGATTCCTTCAATATTCAATTTTAGCAAAATAATAATAAGAGGAAGAAGAAGAAAAGAACAGTATACAAATTCATAAGAACTCTAAGATAATGTTTTATGATTTATTTAGCAAGAAATAATTTTATTTTTCAAATATAATATTTGAAGTGGCGATTTATTAGAGGATTTAAAATTGAAGTACTTAAGTTTAAAAGTTAAAATATATTTAAAAGAAAAAATATATTTTAAGTTTCTGTTAAAATTGGATCAAATTTTTGGTAAAATTGTTTTTTTCTTTTCTTTTTTCTCCCTATATAAACAAATGAAATGAAACCACCGCTAGTTGTGGGACACCATCACAGAACCTCTAAACCCCAAAAACCCCAATTGCTGCGAGCAGAGCCAGCCCTTCTTCTTTGGTTGTTCATATCATTGCGCCGCTCTCTCTCTCTCTCTTTCATCAATCTTCTTTCCTTCATGCTTTGTATGAGAATTTGAGATGAACGCTTTAAGGGCTCTGAGAATAGCCACGACGATTTCTTCTCGATCCCACCAGACTTTCCTCATAAATCCATTGTTTTCCCATCGATGTTACTCTGCCCAACCTGAGCAAGACGATCCGAATCACAACCCTACTTTCTCGGACACTGAAAATGCTCCGGATTCTGTATTTGATAGTTCGCAGTTCACTATTCCAAACATGGATTCGTGTACTAAAACTGAGTCTCACTCCCCTGCCGAATCCACTTGGGATAAAAAATACAGGGCAAGAGCTGACAAACTGATATTTGGGGAAGAATCCGAGGGAGTAAAATACAAGATAATGGAGGAGGAGGAGGAAAGGAGACGGAGAGTGCTTGCCAAGGCTCTGCTTGAGGCGGCGTTGGAAACTGCTGACGATCAGGAAGAAGATGACGAGAGAACGGTGAAGGAGGAGGACCAGAAGTCCCTGGCTGTTGGGATAATTGGAGCACCAAACGCTGGCAAGTCCGCGTTGACAAACTTTATGGTTCGTTCTTTAAGCTTTCACTCCTTTGGCCCGCACAACTGATCTAACTTTTATGACCAGTTCATTTTTCGTATGATTTTTTGAAACCTGTAGTCGCTTAGAGCATTCAAGAAGATTTTTTTTTTTTTTTTTTTTTTTTTTTTTTCAGATGCTCAGATGAACTAGTACTAAAACTGCTAATTTGATAAAACTTCGTTTTTTGCAAGATTGTCGGATTCGTGGAAAATTTTAGGGTTGTTATTCTTTCTTTCAAGCTTTGCATACTAAACCAATTATTGTCGTTCCCTGAACTGAAAAACTGCCTTTTTCCCTTTTTTAGTCTGAAATTTTTCGTTTCTTCATTTTTTAACTTTGCTTAATATAAAGGTGGTTATGTGGAAACAGTCAACTTGTATTGACTATCACATAAGAGATTGTTGGAAGTGATCCTGTTATGTTTTTTTTTCTTTTGTGTAGGTGGGAACTAAAGTTGCTGCAGTTTCACGGAAGACAAATACCACTACTCACGAAGTCCTAGGAATAATGACCAAAGGAAATACCCAAATTGTATGTATCACATTTTTGTGAGGAAATGTTGCTTTGTTCTGTGATTTCTCATTACTAGATAGCTAATTTGGGCTTTTCTTGATTCGTTATGCCAATTCAGTGTTTCTTCGACACACCAGGGCTTATGTTAAAGAGTAAGGGACTTCCTTATAAAGACATGAAAGTGCGTGTGCAAAGTGCTTGGAGTTCAGTTCAACTTTATGATGTGTTGATAGTTATTTTTGACGTCCACAGACATCTTACAAGGTTAGTAGGAATTTCTCCTGGTCTCAAATGTTAAAATATAGGTTTCTCAAATAAGAGGCTTGATAACCATAGGCTTTACAAGTTTTCCTATTTTTCTTTTATTGTGCTAGTCTTGTGGTCAGCTCTAATGGTTTAGCAGTTATCTCTTGGATTTTCTATAGGCCTGATTCAAGGGTGGTAGGATTGATCAAACGAATGGGAGCTTCATCACAACCAAAGCAGAAGCGAATATTATGTATGAACAAAGTTGATTTAGTCGAAAACAAGAAAGACTTGTTAACAGTTGCAGAACAATTTAAAGATCTTCCCGGATATGAAAGGTATTATTGGTTCTTGTTTAGAATGTTGACTCGCTTAGAGGTTCTTGAGCATTTGTTTTCACTAACAGAACAAGCTCCGTATAGGTACTTCATGATCTCGGGGCTAAAGGGAGCTGGAGTAAAAGATCTTTCAAAATACTTAATAGAACAGGCATGTCTCCTATTTTGTTTCACTACTGTTATTCAGAGGAATATGTCTGTCGAGGATTTTTCACTTGATTAATAAATATTCCAAATGGTCTTAAACTCATCTTTGCTTGAAAGAGTTAATCTATAGGTTTAAATCCTATTTTAGTCCCTGGAATTTTAGATTTGTTCCATTTTGGTTCTTAAACTTTCAAGAGGTATATTTTTGTTCTGAACTTTCAAAAATGTATATTTTGGTCCTTGAGCTTTCAATTTTGTTCCATTTTTATCCTTGTGCTTTTAAAATGTATGTTTTAGTCTCTAAAAGGTTTTAAAAATAATTATTTTGGTCCTTATTTGTATTTCATTTTTAACAAAGTAACTATGTACTAACATGTTAATATGAGTGGGATTTCAAGCATATCAGATACAAGTCTTAGGCAAGTGAAAATTAGATGGAAAAATAATATAACATGGACCGAAGTTGTTGTTTCTAAAATGTTTGTGAACTAAAATAAACATTATAAAAATTTAGGGACCAAAATATAAAAGTTCAAGAATCAACATAAATATTTTGAAAGTTTAGGGATTAAAATGGAACGAACGGTATAGTTTAGGGATCAAAATAGATTTACATTTGTCATTTGATGTTTTCACAAGTTTGATGATGATGCTAAACTTATGATATGAGGAAAACTACAAAAGTTGTGCATGGGCTCTAGGGGCTGTTACAATCACACCTTCAAATTTTCAATTTGATTAATCAACACCCTAAACTTGTGGATTTTCGATTTAAATGCAACAATTTCTTAGGTATTAAAGGTGATTGGTCAAATTGAAACATTGAGGTTGTGAATGTTACAACTCCTATAGTTTAAAGGTGGTTGTATCAATTTTTTTTCCCATCTTTTATTGCCATCAGCCAGCTAATTATTCTGTTCACTCAGCTTATACCTGCATCTAAACCTGGTTTCCCCCTCCCTTTTTAGGCAGTCAAAAGACCTTGGGATGAAGATCCATACACTATGAATGAAGAAATGATGAAGAACATATCACTTGAAGTTGTTCGGGAGCGGTTGTTAGACCATGTGCATCAGGTAGTCATTACTATTTTATTTTTATCTGGGCTGGCCAAGAAATTCTTTTTTATCCAAGAACTTTGCTTCTATTTTCAGGAAATTCCTTATGGAATCGAACATCGCCTGGTTGATTGGAAAGAATTTCGAGACGGTTCTCTTAGGATTGAGCAACACTTGATCACTAATAAACCAAGTCAGCGCAAAATTCTTGTGGGGAAAAATGGCTGTAAAATTGGGTAAGTTCTATCACTTCAATGTCTACTTTTGCAAACCAGTTGATATAAGTTACTTCTATAATTCCATCATTAATTTTTAAGAAAGTTCTCATAGGACATAAGTTGCAAACCAGTTGATATATGTTACTTCTATAATTCCATCATTAATTTTTGAAGAAAGTTCTCATAGGACATAAGAGATAAGAGATCCCAATGTGGAGTCACTTTTGTCGTGTTTAGAATCACTATCGAATTTGTCTGAAAATTTTGTTTAAAAGTGTCAAATAAAATATTAAATTGGTTTTGAACGATTAAAAGCATGTTTGAAAGTGATTTTATTCAAAATCACTCTCCAGTATGCCCCAATGATATTGTTTATTTTGATCTAACTGGAAACATATAATCTTCCATCTAATGAGCTTTGATCTTTTGTAATCTTCTTTGCATTTTGAATTGGGAGGATGTCTGTACTTCTCTCACTATTCCTCTACGTATTCAACTGAGTTTATACAACAATTCAATTTCGAGCATGGAAATTTAAGTCGTTCAATTTCACAATTTCAGGAGAATAGGTATTGAAGCAAATGAAGAGCTAAGGTCTATCTTCAAGAAACAAGTGCATCTCATCCTCCAAGTTAGACTTAAATGATGCATCTGCCTATCTATAGTTCCCCTTTGCACATATAGAAAATTGTTTGTTGGTTATCTTAGAATTGCAGATATCTTCCCCGCTATAATTTATAGTGGACGTGAAGATGAAGGCTTCAGAGCTTAGAAGCAGTTTATTCTTTTTAAAAGGGTGGAAATGCATTTTGATGAAGAGAAGAATTTGACATTGTGCATGAAGCCCATGAGAAGTGAGAGCGAGACTTAATAACTTTTCTGGAAGGTTATAGCTTTCGATCTATAATTCTAGTTTTGTTTTTCATAATTTTATTGAAAGAAGTTTATTTTTTTGGTCTTTATTACATTGCTGTAACTTTAAGCATAATGCCAAGGTGTTTCAGTTTCTAAATGACGAAAGGCATCTTCGCATTGGTACCCAACAACAAACTAGGATGAAATCTCGTCTATTTCTTTGGAAGATATTCTCAGAACTTTTGCAGCTCAAGGAGGGTTATTATTTGGTAGCAAGGATTCAAAATCCCAAGGATTCAAAATCCCAAGAATATAAGCCATGGCCATACATGTCTACGCAAACATGGAAATTCGAATCATGAAAATTGTCGGGAAATAGGACAAAGGCTTCGTCATAACACTGATTTAACGGTCATGAAGAGAACAGCAAGTAACAATGGGGTCATGCATCTGAGGACCATGTCTTTTGCCGTAATCTGGTAATGGTCAAGCCACCTACTCCAAAGCCATCCATTATAGCGCTTGCTGAAGGGAACTCAGCTCGTGATGTCAAACTACAAAAAATAAAGACCGGGAAGTTAGGAAGCGTGCATGTAGTCGTTACGTTACAACTAGAAATTGCAGATTATGTTGATTGCTAAAATCGACATTGACAGCAGTCTTTTTTTATCCAAGTCCAACTTGAGCAAGATGTTTCCTGCCAAGCCTTGACGCATGATGAGGAACAAAATTGACAAGTTATATCATCAAGGATTCTAGCTTTTAGACAAATGTAGTGCCACTATCTTGATATAAATCATAATGATTTGGTAAAGAGACTCGTCAAAAGTACAGCTTTTCATACGAAGCATGAAAGTGATTAGGTTACTTAAAGATAGAAAGACGAGTGCTCGGATCTGTCAACTATGGGTCCTTTCTATATTCAATCTATGGCTCAAGTCCAATAATTTCAATTCTTGATGTTATCTTGACGCAGATAGATTCTTAACTTCATGCTATTAAGGAAGAGGAAGAGGAAGGAGAAAAGAGGATGACATTCAGGAAAGACCCTAAATGCTTCCACAGCTGTATTCCCGAGTCCTTGGGTTCCTACCTTGAACAAACTTCTGAGGTCCAATTTTTCTCCTGCTGAAAACTTGATTAATTCTAATAAAGCATGTATTAATACCTAATTTGTCCTATAAGACACTCTAAAAGTGCCTGCATACTAATCCCCGAGATGTAAACTTACAATAATCAGGGAGAAAAAAAAAGTGAAATCTAATTTGAGAATCTAGATTGGGGATTACCTGCTACGGAGCACAATACGCGGCATGCCTATTCGCTCAGCTCCATCAACCCCAGATTGGGTTCCTGCAATAAGGATGCAATTGGAAACAGGTATGTCCGCAAGTTCTGCTCCAGCACGCAATGCACATATGATCTTGTCCAAACTAAGAAAAATACACAATGATATTAACTAACGCACAAGATAATGCTTTCTGTAACCAACATATATAATATTAAACATTGTTGTCAGATAAACCAGCAATCCAATTATTTAAAATAAATTTCCAAGAATAGTGCATATATCACGACAGCTGCAATCATAGGATTCTTAGAATTTGAAAATAAACCACATAACCAAGCTTCTAAAAGCGTCCCATGAATACTACAAAGAAGATACATGTGCATTTTACGTGTAAGTTTATAAGATGAAAAAGCATGCACAATACATATTTTCGTGCAGAGGAAAAGTATGAGAAGGGTCTCCAAGAACCGCAACATATCTTTTTTTATAACCATAAGTCAATTGAACCATTGGTCCATTTCTATTACTTCTATTACAATTCCATTGTTTGCATTGTCTTCTAACATTCCTTAATAATCATTAGTGAGCATTTTGTACGACAGAAGGTGAAAGCAGCTATGAAACTAACCTAAAAAGGAGAGGATGAAAGGTTGGTCAATTTTACTTGGTAGCTTCCTCCCCCATTTCATGAGACCAGGTACCAGTACTGGCAAGCTGTAAGAATACAGGACCTTCTCTCTTCTTAAACTCTATATGACTCCTCAAAAATTGGCCAACCAAGCTAAATTACAAATGAACTTCTCCAAGATTTTTTTTTTTTTTTTTTTTTTTTTTTTTTTTTTTTTTTTTTTTTTTTTTTTTTTTTTTTTTTTTTTT